TCATTTAAATAACCTGGCCTCCAGGTCTCCCAGCATCCCTGAGACCCTACCTGCTACAGGGCCCTCCTGGCTGGCATACCCCACCCCTTTCCCTAAACGTCCTTAGACAGTCCAACCGTTTTGCTTACCCGGTCCCTCTTGTCTACTGGTTGGGCCTCCTGACTGCTGCACCTGGTCCCCCTCTCTTCCCTTTCCTTATCTGGCTCAGGGTCATGTTCACTCTGGACTCTCCCAGATGTCCCTGCCTCTGGCTATGCTCTCCCACACATCTACAACAAACGTTCTCTACCATACCTAGGAGCAGTTATGTTCCTTTTTACTTCTTTTTTTCATTCAGTGTTCTTTATTAATAACTGATGTGGGAGGGTCAGCCCACGGTGAGTGATGCTACTCCTAGGCAAGTAGCCATGGATTGTATAGAAAAGCAACCTGAGCAATCAAGGGGAAGACCCAGTGAGCAGCACTCCTCCATAGTATCGCTTCAGCTCCTGACCTCACTTCCCTTACGACGGGCAGTGACGCGCAAGTATAAGCCAAATAAATCCTTTCCTCCCTCAAGTTAGTTTTTGTTATGGTGTTTATTACGGCAACAGAAAGCAAACTAAGACACTAGCCTTGTTTTCCTTTTGGTCTTGCCTTGGTTCTTTGTCTGCTATCTTATGATGTACTTAAATTGTTTCGTCTCTCATGACCCTTTCATTCTCCCAGGGAAATGATTACTGTGCACACGAATAAGAAAGATACAGTGATTACAGTTAGCTAAAATTGTATGTTTATGTATTTATTTTAATTCTGTTACAATTTTCCCGTTTTCTTTTTCTTTCTTCTATTCTTACAGATCATAAAATTAAGACTTTTTTTTATTAACTTCTTTTCTTCCAAAAAGTGATTACCAAGTATGTGTAACAGCAGCAAACCCTAAATTTAGTCTCTAATGCTAACTGGAGTCATTATGAGGGGACCATTAAATGACACAGTAAAGGCTCTTCTGGTCTTCTCCTCACAAATGAATTATGGGTAACATAACTGGCAAGTCGATGAGAGAACGAGATGAACTATGACGGCTAGAAAGCCCTAGGACAGTCACTGTCTATTTCCATGGGTCTTTTGTAGATTCCACCGTGCGATGCACATGTATGAGAAGTGTGGTCGTCTTATATACGCCCTCATAACCATGCCTGAAATACACATGATCTTCCAAGGTTTGGCTCAACACATGCCACCAAGTCTTTCTGATCTTCCTCACTTCCTTCATTGTACTTTGTTCAATGACTGGCTTCTCTGAGTCTTGTGAAATGGCAGACTTTCTGCCAAGTGACCATTTCCAGCTGCATTAGCTTGCAGAGAAGAGGCGGCAGGTGTCACTTGTTAGCTACGGTTAGCATCCGGGAGAAAGCACTACCTGCTTCAGGGTACTGCACCCAAGAGTGCAGGAAGTGTCTCGACAGCCGTCAGCTGCCCTGAAGGGCTCTCTGCGCTCCACTGGGGTGGAATCGCTGTTGTTGGATTTCATTTACTGTCACAAGAGGGGATAGTGCCATGTGGGTGGAAGTCGAGAAACAGTTATTAAACCCTTTCCTAGTGCAGTCTTGGACTCAGTGCTCTGTGCATGGAGGGAGGAGGGAGGAGGGAGGAGAACTTTCTACAGAAAGGATGGCCCTTTACATACCAGCAACTATTATTAAAAAAATCCAGTAAGTTCAGAGCTAACCTATAGTAAAAAACATTTCATAATTAAAACATAGGGCTTTGATCAGCAGCATTTGTCCTTTCTGGCCACTATCGGATGGAACCTGTCACCACATGTTCCTGCTGCCATGGAGACACCACCGTGCTGTCTCCTCCAATTGTGAGCCACAACAAACCTCTGCTCCTTTAAATTCCTTTTGTTGGGTACCTAAAATAAAACTGGTATGGCCAAGTGGAGCTGGTGGGATAAACATGACTAGATGGTTTGCGGCTTTTTATAACTGGTTTGAGAAGAAATCTGGAAGCGTTTGGAGTAGTGGCCTCGAGATGCTGTAGAATGCTGTAAGCAGAGGCACATGGGTTATTCTGATGGAAGCTTGGGAAGCTAGAGTAGGAATGTGGAGAGAGGAGCTGTGCTCATGGGGTTTCGGTAAAGACCAAAGGGTACTGGGAACTGCACTAGAGGCCACATGTGTTACATTCTGGTAAGGCATGTGACTGTGCTCTGTGTTCTGAAGCTTTGAGTAAGGCTGCAGTAACAAGTGACGATGGTCTAAGGTTTTGGAGGAGGAGATTCAGAAGCCGCATGACATCGAGGCTGCGGCAGGATTAATGTTCACTAGTCTTTGCCAGATTTACAACCAGACAAGCAGGAAGATACTTTTAAAAAGATGCAGTTTGGTGAGGAAAGGAATATGAGTAAATTTAAACTTGTGAACAGAGTTGTGGACAGGGATGGTGCTGACCAAGTGTGTACAATGGTTAAAGAGATCAGTGCCACTAGAGAGAGCAGAGAGGCTTGGCAGTTGCACAGGACTGGAAAGCTGACTTGAGGTAAGGCTCACCCCAGAGAGCTCCAGCATGTATCAATGCAAACTCATCTGGACAGAGAAAGATTGAACAAGGGGAGCTTCTAGGACATCCTACAGGAAAGGGGACTCAGAGAAATATGCCAAGGCAGAGGCTACCTAAGGGAAAAGGGTTAAACTGGCAGTACAACTTGGCATCATTGACACGGCACTGGTCTTGCAGACATGCAAAAATGTAAGAATTATACGACCATGGAGACTTACACCAGTGTTCCAGAAAGTCACCAAAACCAGGCAACATGTGGTAGCATTGGATGGAGCTCCTAAGCAGGCTGTGTGTGAAGCTGTGAAACTGAACCCTAATTGTAACAGAGACCTCAAGATGGCAGAGATGCAGAACACTAAGCGAGGAAAGCTGCACTCAGAGACTATAGCAGCGGCACACAAATGGTACTGGTTTTTGCAAGTATAAAAATTGCATTACTGGGCAGGTTCTGTGGGTGTGCACCAAAGGTCCAGAAAGCTGCCCAGGCAACGAGTATTAAGGTTGGATAATGAACTCTAACCTGAAAGATGTAAAAAACCTTTTCCTCCCAAGTTATTTTTGGTCATGTTTTTTATCATAGCAACAGAAAGCAAACTCTCATAACATCTCCAGTCCTAGCACTAAGGGGGCTGAGGCACAATGACAGCCAAGAATTCTAAACCAGCCTGGGTTACATAGTAGTTTGAGACCAGCCATGATGGCTACATAGTGAGATTCTATCTTAACAAATAAAACAAAATCCCCATAACTCCTTCTAACATATAACCTGACACATCCATTAAAATTGTTTTCCAAGCGTCCTAAAGTAGTATAAAAGAGGTCTTTTGAAACAAGATTTAGGTGGAAAATGAGGGGAGGGTGTAATTTCATACAGCACCCCTCCACACACACACACAAAGTGCTGCAGTCCTGTCTCTGGATTCCAAATCCCCCTTGAACAGAGTTACTTTACCTCTTTGCATGTGTTTTTCTAATCAAACAAAACAAAAGTAAACAGCACCTCCAGAAGTAAGACTGGTACTAAGTGATACTATTAGCTGCTTCTCAGAGAAACAATCATGACATGTTTCTAGAACTCTCATTACAAGAACAGAAAGTGCTCTCTACAACCTAATTCTATCCAGGAACAAACAGAGCTCTGTTCACAATTACACAATTGTTTCCAACTATGTAAACTAAATACATGAAAGAAAAATGTTAACACTTAAGACATATCTATACTTACTGTATACTGTGCATATTTTCCCATATATTTAATATGAATGGCATCTATAAATGGCACATAAAGATGGCTGGAGCATATTATTGGAAACACAGAGCACTCTGTAGTGAAGTGCTACTCAACAGGGGAGGCAAACAGAGGCCTGGGAAATAAAAGGACCTTCCAGCTTACTGCAGCTGTGCCCACAGCTCACGTCCAAGCACTGCTTTCTTAGTTTGTATTATTTAATGTTTGCTCTTGCACACTAAGGATCATGATGGCTTTGGATTTGTTCATATTGTTCAGGTAGGTTTCAGAACTGTTACTGATGCCCTTCCACTTAGGTTTTCTTCCTCTCTCTTATCATTAGCCCCTCCTCTTTTTGCTTAATTAAAACATCCTATAGCTTTAACAATCCCTAACACTGTGCACTTCAACAGTATCCCAACTTTCCGTTTCTTTCTTTTAAAAGGCAATGCAGTAATTCATCTTCACCCACCCTCCCCTTACCTGTACACATCCCTCCACTCCTGGTCTAATATCTGAGTATGTTCCACACTATCCTTGGCTCCACATCTTCTAGCCGTGATTGAGGTCAGGTGAGCTGCCGTTACTAACTGGTTTGTACCACACTTACAGAGTGGTCAAACAGCTGGGGTTGATCTCACAGTTAATATTCCACTTAGAGAACAAGAGAGAGTTCCTCCAGGTACCCTAAACTCTTGGACTGAGGAACTATTTTCTGAATGAAACACTCAACTCTACCGCATTAAAGTCTCACATGAACACAGTGACTATATCAACTGAAAGAATGCAGCTGATAAAAAATAAATCAAGTAAATAAATAACTCCATATATGTACATCCCTAGGCAATGACATAACATGAAAACCCAAGCCGACTACAAAACTTATTAATCTAACAGTAGTAGTGACAGTGAGTTAAATAAATATCAGCTAGAGAACTCAATGATAGAATTGTGTTCTCAGTCGTTGCCCCGTGGCCGCCGCTTTCTTTTTTTTTTTTTTTTTTTTTGGCTTTTCGAGACAGGGTTTCTCTGTGGCTTTGGAGGCTGTCCTGGAACTAGCTCTTATAGACCAGGCTGGTCTCGAACTCACAAAGATCCTCCTGCCTCTGCCTCCTGAGTGCTGGGATTAAAGGCGTGCGCCACCAACACCTGGCCCGCCGCCGCTTTCTAACACCAGCTCTGCCTCTCGCTTGCCGAGCTCCAGCCGAAGGAGAAGGTGGTTAAGTAAGGAGGTGCTTGTACCATGGCTCCTACAAAGCTGACCGCCAGCAAATCCACCTGTGGTAAAGCACCCAGGAAACAACTGGCTACAAAAGCCGCTCGCAAGAGTGCGCCCTCTACTGGAGGGGTGAAGAAACCTCATCGTTACAGGCCGGGTACTGTGGCACTCCGTGAAATCAGATGCTATCAGACATCCACTGAACTTCTGATTCGCAAGATACCCTTCCAGCGTCTGGTGCGAGAAATTGCTCAGGACTTCAAAACAGATCTGCGCTTCCAGAGTGCAGCTATTGGTGCTTTGCAGGAGGCAAGCGAGGCCTATCTGGTTGGCCTATCTGAAGATACCAACCTGTGTGCTATCCATGCCAAACGTGTAACGATTATGCCAAAAGATATCCAGCTAGCACGCCGCATACGCGGAGAACATGCTTAAGAGTCCACTATGAGGGGAAACATTTCATTCTCAAATATTTTTTACCTCTTCTTCCTGTTATCAGTAGTTCTGAATGTTAGATATTTTTCCCATGGGATCAAAAGGGACCTAAGTGTATGATTTCAGAGTGGAAAAAATAGGGGACAGAAATCAGGTATTGGCAGTTTTTCCATTTTCATTTGTGTGTGAATTTTTTAATATAAATGCAAGATGTGAAGCATTAATGCAAGCAAAATGTTTCAGTGAACACATTTCAACAGTTCAACTTTACAACAATTATAAATAAACCTGTTAAAATTTTCTGGACAATGCCAGCATTTGGATTTTTTTTAAATAAGTAAAAATGTCTTATTGACGGCAACTAAATGGTGTTTGTAGCATTTTTATCATACAGTAGATTCCATCCATTCACTATACTTTTCTAACTGAATTGTCCTACATGCAAGTACATGTTTTTAATAGTTTGTCTTCTGTGCTGTTCCTGTAAGTTTGCTATTAAAATACATTAAACTACAAAAAAGAACTTAATGATCATAATAATTGTAAGAATATTCAAAACAATAAAAGAAGATAATAAGTACCTGATTGAGAACCAAACAGCTGAATGAGACAAGGAAACGGATGCAAGTCATGAAAGAGGAATTAAACAAAAAACTGTACTGAAGACTGACCAATCTGACATGATAGAAATGGAAAAAAAAAACAAACAGTCAAATAAAATCTCTGTGGAAAAATCTCACCAACAGAATTGATTAAGGAAAGGACAGAATACCTGAGCTTGACAAGATGAAGACACTGGAAGCATCCAACAAAGACAAAGACAAAAGAAGGTACCCGCAGGAATTCCAAACATACATGGCATGCAGAAAAGACTAAATCTATGGGTAACAGACAAGCATTTAGAATAGAAGAATATAATTCTACTCTATTCTTGTATATTATAGAAGAAAAATATAAGTCTAAGGACACAGAAAACCTTAAAAAATCATAACAAGTCAGGCATGGTGGTATTCCCAGCACTTGGGGAGGCAGAGGCAAATGAATCTCTAAGTCTCAAGTCATTCTGCTCTACATAGAAAGTTCTAAGTCAGCCAGGACTACACAGTGAGACTCTTTCCATCCCAAGAAACAAATAAACAAACAATCATCATAACAAAATTTCCCAGAGTTTTGAAAAGAGATCCAATCCAGACATGGGAGACATTTAGGACACCAAACAGTTAAGGCCAGAAAAGAACCCCCTTCTGTCATATTATAATCAAAACACTAAACATGTAAAACATAACATATACGGAAAGAAACAAGCAAGAAACACCAAACCACACAGAGGCAGGCCCATCAGAATAGTAACAGATTAATTAGCTGAAACTTTAAAGGCTAGGAGGGCCTAGACAGATGTATTTCAAGTTTTAAAAAACAACTACCAACCCAGACTACTACACCCATCAATTCTATCTGTCATAATTGAAGGAAAAAAGAAAACTTTCCATGATAGAAACAGGCTAAAGGAATGTATGAGTTCTACAGAAGTTACCCAAAGGAATCATTTGAACTGAAGAGAGAAAAAGAAATCCACCCACAAGGTCACAGGAAACAATAAGCCACTAGAATACTAGTTAAGATAGAGAAGAAAAGAAATAAAAACCCAAATACAACAAGATAACAGAAATCAATCCGTAATACTAGCTCTGAATCTTAATGATGTTAATTCCCCAATCAAAAGACAGACTAGTAGAATAGATCAAAAAGCGGGAACCATCTCTTTGCCGCCTTCAAGAACACATTTAACCACAGAAGAGAGATAGTACCTCAGGGTGAAAAGATGGACAAAGAAAGGCATTCCAAACAAATGGACCTAGGGAACAAGCAGGTGCCACTGCCCCAGTGTGTGACAAAACATGCTTTAAAAGTCCAAACTAGGAAGAAAAGATAGTCACTCAATATTGATTATAGAAGCATTGTGATTCTACAATGTGCCCTGAAACTGGTGGATTCAATTTCATGAAACAAATATGTTAGACATAAAACCACAGATTAAGCCTAGCAGAATAACAGTGGGTGACTTTAGTACCTCATTCTCATCAATTGGCAAGTCCCTCCCAACAAAAAATAAACAGAGGGACAGGAGAGATGGCTAAGCAGTTAAGAGAACTAGTTGCTCTTCCAGAGGACCCAGGTTCAATCCCAGCAACCACACAATAGCTCACAACCCTTTGTAGCTCCAGTTTCAGATCTAACACCCTTTTCTGACCCCCACAGGCACCAGGCACATACATTGTTTGCAGTATAAATGCAGGCAAAACACACATATACATTAAGTAACATAAAACTTTTTTAAATTAAAAAGCAGAGAAATGTGAATTAAGTGAGTATAGATCAAATGGACGGAACAGACACTAAGAACATTCTGTGAAGCACTGCAGGACATACATGCTGCTCAGAAGCCCATGGAGCTTTCTCTAAAATAAATCACTTTGGGACACAGAGCAAGTTTCAACAAATACAGGAAAACTGAAATAATTCCTCATATTCATGGCAATGGAATAAGACTACCAATCAACAGCAAGAGAAGCACTAGAACATACATAAACTCCTGGAGTTAGTACCCTATTTAATGATGACTGGGTCCCTAAAGAAACCAAGAACATAAGAAAAAAGCTCTTAGAATCAAATGAAAATGAAATCACAATATTCCAAAATTGTAGCATGATAAATAGAAGACCCAGAGACAGATATTGTGGGTTCAAGCTTCAAGCTGAAAATCAGGAAAGTAAAGCAGCTGGCCACTAGCTCTTACCTCTACCTTAACTCAAACGAAGGGGGAATCCTCAAACTGCTCCTTACTTCACTGCTCCTCAGATTCACTCAAACTGCCATGCTCTTCTCCGTGTGGCTGGAGACTAATTCTCAGATCGAATACCTCTACCTTTTACACCTCTCAAATCCTGGGATTAAGGTGGGGGGGTAGGGGATCCATCTATCTCTTAATCCTAAATCCTGGGATTAAAGGTGTGTATCACCACTGCCTGATCTCTATAGACTGAGGCTGACTTTGCTTTCTGAATCCTCAAGCAAGCTTTAACAAATCATAAATAATATATCACCATACAAAACCTATGATATACGATGAAAGCAGCTCTAGGAAAAGAAGTTTATAGCTCCAAGTGTCTACATTAAGAAATCAGAGACATTACAAATAAATAACATAATGAATGAACCACCTTAGGGCCCTGGGAAGCAATCAGACAATCCCCAAATCAGTCAATACAAAGAAATCATTACGAGCAGGACCAGAACTAATGAAATGGAAACAAACAAAAACACAAAGAAGCAATGGGACAAAAACTGTTTTTTTTTTTAAATATTGACAAACTCTTGGCCAAGCAAACCAAAAGAGAGAGAAGACCCAATTTAATAAAATTAGGGATGAAAAGGGAGCCACTATTTGAAACTGCAGTGGAATTCAAAAAACCATTCGGTCTTACTTTGAAAGCATATATTCTACTAGATTGAGAAATCTGTAAGAAATGGAAGAATTTCTAGATGCATACGACCTATAAAAATCAAACCAAGTTGAGACAAACAATGTAAACTAATCTGTAGCAAGCAATGAGGCTGAAGCAGTGTTAAATCTCTCTACACTGAAAAAGTCCAGGCCCAGATGGATTCCCAGGTGGATTTTCTCAGACATTCAAAGAAGAACTAACATAATATGTCTAAAATAGTCAATAAAATAACATAGAAAAGAATACCACCAAACTCCTTTTATAAAGCTAGTATGACCCTGATACCAAAGATAGATAAAAAAGAAAAAAAATTTCTCTGATGCACTTAGATGCAAACTTTTTCAATGTAATACCTGCAAACTGAATTCAAGAACACATCAAAAAGATGATTCACCATGATCTAGTTATATTTAACTCCAACTAAGATGCTGGGATGGTTCAATACATATAATCAATAAATGTTATAAATTACAAGGAGACTCAAAGACAGAACACAGATGTCTCAGTAGATGCAGAAAAGGCATTTGACAAAATTGAACATCCCTTCATGTTAAAAATTCTGAAGCAACTCAGAATAGAAGAAACCGATATGACAAACCTACAGCCAACACACATGAAACTGGGGAAAACACAAAGTGGTTCCTGTAAAATCAGGAACAAAGGAGTCTGTCTACCTTCTCCACTCTCACGCAATATGGCAGGATACAAAATGAACACACAAAAATCATTAGCCTTCCTATACACTAATGGCAAACAAACTGAAGAAAGAAACCAGTAAACAATTCCATTTACAACAGTCTTAAAAAAACACCTTGGAATAAACCTAACCAAGGATGTGAAAGAGCTCTACAGTAAAAACTTTAAAGCATAGATGAAAGAAACTGAAGAGAGCTGGGCCTAGTGGCACACGCCTTTAATCCCAGCATTTTCAAGGAAGAGGCAGAGTTTAAGGCCAGCCTGGTCTACAGAGTGAGTTCCAGGACAGCCAGAGTTATATAGTGAGAACTGCCAGAAAAAATAAAAGAAAAAAATCAATATTGTAAAAAATGACCATTCTATCAAAAGCACTATACAGATGCAATGTAATCCCTATCAAAATCACAATGCTATCCTTCACAGAATAGGAAAAAAAGCAATCTTAAAATTAATATAGAACCACAAGAGAATAGCCAAAGTAACCCTGAGCAATAAGAATACTGCTGGAGTTAATACCATACCTGATTTTAACTTACATTACAGAGCCATAATTATAAAAACAGCATGGCTAGAAGGGTGAGATAGTTATCTGTCACTTCAATCCCCAGGACCCACATAGTGGAAGTAGAAAGCCAAATCCTACAAATTGTCCTCTGAACTTCACATATACCTCATAGCATGTGTGCACTCAATACAAACACACAGAAACAAATATAGTAAAGTAATTTTTTTGTGTGTTTTTGAGACAGAGTTTCTTTGTATAGCCTTGGCTGTATAGAACCCACTCTGTAGACCAGGTTGGCCTCGAATTCAGAGTCACAGAGGCCTGAC